ACCACGTAGGCAGGTTGAGGTACGGACCCGGCCTACCACCCAGTAACATACCATCGTTCACCCAATAAGCCGAACGACAATGCCCGACAGGGACACCCCGATCGAGCTCCACTATTGAAGTACCCACATGGCAGAACACCCAGCTCGCGATGGAAAGTTCACGCCACGAGCGTAGGACCCTGATCTGGGTCATACGTCCGACACGCGGGCTCCACTCTGCATAATCGACGCATTTCGAAGTACGTCGATCCATCAAAGGGGTCGAAAGGATATCTACGCTCGAGAACAAAACTTAGCAAAATATTCATCACAAAAAAGACAGTCGTACATTAGCCTAGATACGAGCAGGTTAAGGCAAAATAAACATCCATCGAAAAATATATGCACAAAACAGGTTAATAGTGAACCGACCAAGAGGGCCGACAATGTTCAAGGTTACAAACCATGGCACAATGGCCAAAAGAAATCAAGAATTAGCACGGGCACGCAGGCCCCAAAAAACGAACACGGGCACGCAGGCCCCAAAAACAAATACACGGGCACACAGGCCCGAATAATAACTTGATGCTAAACATCCCCAGGACTACCGACATCCACGCCAGGAGACTCGGTAGGAGGCACAACCTGACCATCAATAATCTGGGACAGAAACCTGACTCCCTCGATGTTCATGCCCGGATTTAGGACGAATAGTTGACTAATCGTGGCCTCAAACCCGTCGGCTAGGGCACCAACGTAGTCTGACTCGAGAAGGTTGATACGAGCAACCAAATCTGAACGGGTGCGCAAAGAGGCTATCTCCTCTGGCTCGTCATCAGCAGGAAGCATAGCAGCATTTAGCTCCTCGATTTCCTTGGACAACCGTTGGTTGTCACTCTCCAACCGTTCCTTGTCAAGTTGGAGATAATCCCTCTCCTCGGAAGCCTTCGCGGTCTTCTCCTTCTCCCCCGACAGCAGGTTGGCCTGCTCACGAAACATCTCCTCGGACCGCTCGAGGGCCACCTTCAACTTGCGAGATTTGGCAGCAAAAGCAGCCTTCTCCGACTTTAACTCCCTGACACGGTCCGAGGAATCTGATCCTTCCCCTGCAAGGACCACAACCATCTCGGCCATCTTCACTACCCCGACCATGCTAGCGGCGAGTTGTTTCCTCCGGCCTTCTTTGTCGAGCCGTTTAATAATGTCGGCCTCGTTATCAGACACTATTAGAGGAAACCCCTCGAATAAATCCTTTTCCATAAAACAGGGCGGTAAGCCAAAGGCCCGGGCAGCTACGGGCTCATCGCCAGTTTCCGCCCTGCTCTATGTCTGACCCCTCTTCCTCCCAACCAGCTCGGTCTGTTGCTCGGTATCGGGAGAGCCCGAGGACCCACTTGACGCATCTTCGCCCGAACCAGCTGGAGGGCCCATCCGCGTGGCCTGCGGTGCTCACACCAGCCTCTGGCTTATCTTTTTGTCTTGGGTCAACTTCAACAACCTCTCTCGACGTTCCGCCATGTGACCTGTAAAGAGGAGCGAACCCGGGTTAGCTACAAGCGAGCAAAAGCAATGAAAATGGAATAAAACAATAAGAGCATAAGCAAGTAACCTAGGAGATCTATGGCCTGCCCGTAGGATTGGCATTCAACAAGCGCCTTGGTGTTGATAGGGCACGCCTCGAACGTCGGGTAGCCATCCTCATCAAGAATGTCATCCCCTTCCCTCGTGACCCATCGGGCGGGGAAAAAGCTATCAACATACTTGCAAAGGACAACATAGGCCTCCTCATCCTAGGCACTCATGCTCCCCGCAGGGGTATGATAGTGCCCGGTTCCGTGCTCATAGTGACCTGAGCTCTAATGGATTGGGAACCTGGAGATCCGCCCGACTGTGGGACTACCCTCAGTATTCACAAGGGGATCCCCGTCCCCGTCGACCACCTTAGTTTCCGATTCAAATAGAGAATCCATGGCCATTTGGGTGGCCGACTGTAACACGTACCATTTATCTTTGAAATCCCTCACCGAGTCCATGTACATCCTAAACAGTCTCTTCGACTGTTTAAGGGATACCTAGCTGTGTTTACCTCCTCAAGACTGTCGTTGCATATGAAACACCCTGAAGAAAAGGGGAATTGTTGCCCCAATTCTCAGGAAACGGCAGGTCAGCTCGAACGCCCGGAGGAAGGCGATCGCGTTAGGGTGGAGCTGCGAGGGGGCCAGGTTCAGATGACTGAACACCCCGACTTGAAAGTCACTAAAAGGCAGCCTAAGACCGAGATCCCTGAATACAATATCGTACATAGGGAACACATACTCAGTGAACTCCGAGCAGATACAGGCGTCAATTGTCGGCCTCATTATTCTAAAATTCTTTTGAAAACCTTCCTGAGTGCCGCCGTGCTCAACAACGATATAAGCTCGCCGACTACGATGGTAGTACGCCAAAGCAATTCCCCGGGGCTCGACGCCCACCCAGTCCAACGTAGGGTCGTCGATGGTGTCGACCAATGTAACGTTCTCGTCTATACTTGTGTCCTCAACGTCATTATGTCTCGAGGATTCCGGATTATCATCCATTTACCTGCAAAGCATAGGAAACCGGTGAATTCGAGAGCAAATTCGCATGCTCGCCACAAAGGCGGGGAAAAGTACACAACGCTCAGATCGAAACTAAAGCCGAACACCGACACCCTAGTTCCGACCACGCATCAATCATGGATAGCACGAGCGTAAACTTGAGCGCCCCAGGCGAATCATGAATCACGCGACCAAGTTCCTGACTTCGCCTACCCGACACTAGAATACTGCGAGGAGACTACCCTATATACTTCCTAAAAGGATGAATATCCCGGCCAGTTCATGAGTGTGCCGACCAAACGCATGAATATCACGGGCAATATCATGAATTATATGCCTAAAACTATGAATATCACAGGCAATATCATGAATTATATGCCTAAAACTATGAGTATTTCGAGCACAGTCATAAATCAGGCGCCTAACGCGCTTGAATCTACCGGGTATTACTTCCAAATACAGGTTTCTAGTATCAAAAATATCATCAAAGCTACCTACAACACAGAGAAACAGGAGGGAGGGATACTTACTTGGAAGGAGAGGAGTACAAACAACGGTGGTGAGAGTAATCAACGACGAATGGTGCGACGGTCTCAACGGCGTTACGGGAACCAACGGCTGTGGAAACAGAGAAAGAAGGAGGAGCGTGAAGAGGAGAAACAGATTATAGGCCTAAGGGTCCTATTTATAGAGATGACGTGGAATGTGAAACGTCGCACCGGGGAGACATGAACTTCCCCCATCCTCGACACCTACCCGCCTAGGCAATGATGACCCTATTTACTAGGCCGGCGTTGCAGTTCCCAAGGACTAAACCACGTGTCCGACAGACGCAGCCTAGAGATCCCCGCGAGATTTCCTCGAGCAGGCTTCGAAAGGCAAAGCCATAGGTCGGGCATTGGTTCCCCGCGGAAAAAGCAAGCTGAGATCAAGTCATAACTCCTGTCCCAGGAACAACGACTTGGGGGGCTCCTGTTCTGGACTGGGCCCGCCTTGGCCAAAAGTGCAAATAAAGGCCCAGATCCAGGCAGCTCCTCAGGGAATGCTCATAATCAGACCATCCCGAACGTGCCCGACCACAGACCCTAGTGGCAATGCCCGCCGTTACCCACAACGAGTAGCGTCCCCGACTAGAGGATTCGAATTGCTCAAGCCTTGCTCGAGCATCCTCCCTATAGGGCAGATTCTGTCCCCTCCGAACGCTACGGGATCCTTAAAGCCCCGAAAAGACCGCGTCTTCGACCTTCCTCATTCTTCGCAGAGCACCATCCAGGAAGGGGACCACATGCGGCTCCCCACTACACACGTAGAACCTGGCAGTCCCTTTATTGGGCCAATTCTGGTTGGCCCAATAGGGGGACCTTGACCCAACGCTGGGGCTATAAATACCCTCTGTTCCAAGAGGGTCAGGTATTCGTTCATTACGCACCTATATACTTTTTGGCGGCCTATTTCGTCTCTCATTTTATCATCGGAGTGTCTTGCAAGTACTCCTCCATCTCATTCAAATCCAGTTTAAACCAGCTGTGACGGTCCAAGTCTAATCCGATAAGATCATAATATAAAGAAAATTGTTATAAATCTATAATAATTCAAATAAAAATATATTATTACTATTAGAATTAGTATTTATATTCTTTGTATGAAATTTTAATTTATTCTAATTATACATGATAGAATTAAAAAAAAACTCCATAATAAAATATTATAAAATTTGCAAATAAAGATTGATCAGTTAATAAGATGATTTTTTATTAAATGTCTTAATCACATAATACTATTTTTTTAAAATATTTAGAAACCATACAATTTAAAATAGATATATATTGATTTTTAGAATTTTTAATTAATAGGTAGGTGGTTATAGAATATAAAGGAAATTGTCATAGATTTATAATAATTTAAATCAAAATATATTATTACTATTATAATTAAAGTTTATATTCTTTGTAGAAATCTTTAATTCATTCTTATTATACATAATAGAATTAAAAAAAGTCAATAAATAAAATTTTCAAATAAAGATTAACTAACTAATAAGATGATCTTTTATTTTAAAAATAATAACACATAATACTTATATTTTTTAAATATTTAAAAACCATAAAATTTAAAATAGATATATATTGATTTTTAGTATTTTTTAACTAATGATTTTTATTAATTTTTAAATAAATATATCCTCTCATATTATAAATAAATTTCACTTTTTATATTTATTGTTCTATAATTATACTAAATTTAAAAAGTAAAATTTACACGGAAGGAAGGAGTACATAAAAGCAAAAAAATTCAAAAATATAATATTTATATCGTCAGTTTTTAAAGGTGAGATTTATTCAAACGTGACCCTTTGTTTTTCCTATTTTATTGTATTGCATTTATTTCCTCTACCACCTTAAATACGCTATGGTATAAAGCGATGTTTGTCAAGCATCTAAAATGACTACTAGCATCAAGAATATCTTTGCACTTATATTCATTATCTTGGTCATCATGAACTCAGGTAACAAACTTCTTTAGGTTGTATTCTTGTTAAGTTATTTTAGAAAATTATAATATGAGCAAGGTTTGTAATGATATTTTTATGATATGCAGGAGTAACAAGTCAAGAGGTTATTATTCGCTCTACAATCTGCCGTGCACTAGGGTCTTGTCCAAATAAGGATGAAACTAGTAATCCATATTGTGATAGGTTTTGTAGAGAAGGAGGTTATCCTAAAGGTGGAAAATGTGAGGGAGACTGGTGTTGCTGCGAAAAAAATTAATTTAGATCATTACAATTATTTTCAAATAATGTATGTAGAATACTATATAACTTCCTTACAAGGAAAATTGAGAAATAAATACGATAATTTACGTTTTCAATACATTTAGTTTTTTCATTCTTTCAATTTTAAGGAATTACAAATCTATTATTATGTACGATTCAAATTTGAGATTTAAGGAAGAAGCAATGTATCATGTAAAACTTAAATTTGAGGAACCAATCGTTAGTTAGTTCAATGGGGATTGACATTTAATTTAGTAGGGAAGATCATAGTTCGATCTCTACAACTGTGATTGGGAGGGACATAAATCATTTGATGTTAGAACTTGATACTTATAAAATTTACAAATGTTCAACAACATAGACATAATGGGAGGGACAAAAATCATTTGATGTCAGAACTTGATACTTATAAAATTTACAAATGTTCAACAACATAGACATAAAAATTAATAGGAAACCCGCAAACAAAAGTCGAGAGAAAAATTCGAAAAATAAGAGAGATTCCTAACCAATTGTAACTTAAGTTAGGTAAAGCATAGGGTCTTTACAAAACTCACAAAAGTTACACTTGGATTTAGAAATATCTCCAATGAAGGATTACTTTCACGCCTTCATTTTGATGCTCCAAACGAGATCCAAAACATTGCAAACACCGTTGTTAAAAATGATATCATTCCTTATGAAATTATGGTATGACAGAACTTGAATGTCCTATGACATGTTGGGACATCTGATCCGACATAAACAAACATGAAAGATATTATCAATAAAAGAAATACTAAAAAAGTATAAATAACACACATAATTGTTAACCCAGTTCGGAACAACCTTCCTACTCTAAGGGCATACCAAGCCAGAGACAAATCCAATCAAATAGTATCAATTCATAAACCCTACAGTAAACCTCCAGTTTAGGGCCTAATCAATTAATCACTACCATTGCTAGATTTCTATCTAAGACTCACGTAAATATGAGACCCTCCTCAATCCTCTTTAATTACAGACAATGATTGATCAACAACAATTATGAACAAACAGGAAGACAGACTTCCATGACAATCACTAGCCAAGACTCTTGACTAAGATCACAACTTGGATTTGCTTAAAAGCTTCCTCCAAGAATAATACTCAACTCATTACTTTACAACTTCTGAGTGAGAACAGCAGTGACCATCTCACAACCCAAGTGGTTCACTTACACCAACTCTCCTAGAGAACGATAAAAAGACAAAGCCCAAGACTTCTACATCTTAAACACGTGCCTTTTCTAGATTACCAACACTTCTATTTATAAAATATATCCAACTGGATTTGGACCTTCAAAACACAACACGTTAGATGTTACAAGCTAGCAGTAGCTTCTGCTACAAACAAGGTTTTCAATCAAATATTCCAAAATTATCTCCAAATTTAGAAACTGTATATTCTGATTGATTCTTTTAAAACTTTAAATCAACACTCTATAATGTTGCATAATATTTACCAAAATATTCTACGCCAGTTAAATCATAACAGAATCTAACTATCACTTCAGCTCAGGACAATGTCGTTTGCTCCTTCATAGGGCATCTTATCTGATATGATGTTCCAGATGTTGAATCTCTTTAACTCAACATGTCCTAAAATAAAATAGAACTTGTTGCTCAACTTGTCCTATTAGCAAGTTAATACATCCTCTCCAATATCTTGTTGTATTATTTGTTTTACAAAAAATAATGCCAATCCTTAAAACTAGAGAACTTACAATCTCCCCCTTTGGCAAATTTTGGCTAAAACAAATAAATAAAAATACAACATAATTACAGCAATAAACAAAAACATTCACCAACAGCAGTCCTAAAAAACTATTGATCACAACAACATAGTAACATGGAGTTAGTCTTCAATAGTTGGCACTCCCTCTCAAACCAGGTATCATCTCTCATCACAGAAGACCAATGGTGACATAAGAGAATTCCCAACCATTCTTTGATCAGCAGTCTCCTGTGGACCTAGACAAATCAACCACCACCCCTGGTAACTCAGAACACATGTTACAACTGTGTTCATAACTCATATCACAGGTCACAAAACCATAACTTAGCATAACAGGCTATAACCATAAGATGGAACATCTTGTCGGACATTTGAAAGCAACATATGGAGCTACAGATTCCAGACTGATCATCTGAGTACACCCTTTCTCCCCCATTTTCATCAAAAATTGACAAAGAAGGCCTTCACAGAACCATACCCGAGCACAGCTTACCCAGACCCGAATGAAATCCATAGTGATGATGAACAAAATCAAATGCTCACATGGAAATAGAGAACAAGAGAGACCTCTATAAATAGCTGAGCAAATTTCTTAGGAGTTAAAGATCTTTGAATGAGACAATCTTCATCAAAGAGACGTTAATTGAGGGACAAAACTGTCACTTGCATCAAAGTGCACCGTCCAAAATAAGTTTGAATGCCTTTAAATGCTCTAGACTATTTCTGCTGAAAAGAACCAGTCCCAATTCATGCACATGCATGGTCTAACACACTTTCTGACATGTGTTTGACCATAAAGTGTTGTAACACTCCCTTGTTGGTCGCACAGGAAATATGTCCTGAATATAGTCCTGACATTTAGTCAGACACTGTCTTCTTTTGCCAGTATTGACCAACACATCTTCTTCCATGCTGTCTTCGACTGGATTCTAAATGTTCTCCTTTCACTTAGGCTTAGTGATACTCACCAAGATATCAGAACATCACATTTGTGACATCTGTCAATAATAAAGACCTGAAGAATCCTTTTAACATCTGCAGAGAAAAGATAAAATCTCCCAGACATAACCATTAATCACCAGAGAGATATGTGAACTTCTGATCCACCAGTTTCACATGGCTAAGACCAACCATGCCTTGTCAAGATCATCAATAATTTCATAATGACACAACATGTTGTTTGACGTCAATTTCTCATAAGAGGCATAAGACCTCCACAAGGTTGAACAACACTCTAACTAATAAGATGAGTTTTTATTTAAAGAACATAATTACATGATATCTATTTTTTTTTAATATTTAGAAACCAAAATAACTCTCAAAATTAATTTATTTTTAAAATTTTCCAAAAAAATCTATATAAAATTAGTGTATCTATAATCGTAGGCTTTGTAAAACAACCATCAAACAATAATTTTTTTTTATTAATTTGTAATTTTTTTAATTCTTCTGAAGAGATAAAAAAATTCCTATAAGAATTGAGGTCCACTCATATGCTTCATAAAAATACCATCAAACAATTCACTTTAAAAGCTTTGTGAGGATGTCAAATAAGCAAAGTATAGTTTGCTTTACAAATATAAATTTTAATAAAGTTTTAAGACGGAAGTTGAAATTGTTGGGGTTGATTGAAAATATACATGTTAAATAAGTCTCACATTGCTTATTTTTGTAATGGAAAAGGGAGTCCAATGCTATATATAGAATTCAAGTTTTTCTTTATAAGATGCATTAGTCAAAAGTATTTTAAGCTTGTATTTGACTTTCTTTGTTCTCTTATGCTCTTGTATTAGAGTGTTGTGAGATGTAGTTAAATATTTGTTTTGGAGGGTGTGGATGTATTGGGGGTATGGGTTAGTTGAGAGTATATTATGTGTTGTAATAATTTTCACATAGTGTTATTCTTTGGTTGTCTATTGATAACGACTGTTATTTTTTCTCCAGTTTTTGAGTTTCCACGTTATATCCTTATGTTATTGTTGTTGTTATTTTGTTCCTATTTTTCTCTATGGTTTGTGTTTCTAACAACTGGTATTAGAGTTTTTGGTTCGATGCAAGGATAATTGTTCTTAGTATGTTCTGTGGTTGCAACTTTGTCTGACCTTCCACATCAGAAAAGAAGGGTATTATTGTGAAAGAGTTGTTGAGCTGCAGTTACAGGTTCCACTGTGCAGTTTGGGCTAGAGAAAATTGAAGGGAGATTTTTTTTTGACTTTTGGAAAGTTTGAGTCAAAGATGTGTTGACAAAATAAAAATTATACAAGATGCAATATTATTTCGGTGGTTAAAGAGCTTCCTACCAACATGGAAGTTTCACCATAATGTTTCAACCTGATTTTCGGCATGTGAAAATTCTTGAAGTGGTTTACCTTCAAGTGAAGTATACTCTTCTTTAGTTGGAGTATGATAGTTTCTAAAATTATGATTGTCGGTGAGGACAATGTGAAAACTCTTGGAGTGGTGTAGCTTTAAGTAGGGGTGGTCGTGGTGCGTCTTAGGTGGTTTTGACGCTAAAAATCATCTGAACCGCAAGAAGAAAAATGTGCAGTTTGGTTTGGTTTGGTTGGTTTTTAAAAAAACAAATCTAACAAAACTAATATGGTTTGTTTCGGTTCGGCTAGTTCGGTTTTTCACAAATATTTTATTAATTCATACACACACATATAGATGACAACATACATTTGTATTTAGTCATTCATACGCTATCAAATAACAATAAAACTCGTCATATTTGGACGACAACTTCTCATTTAATATGTAAAGATTAGATTAGACAAAAGTGAAATTATAAACATAAAATAATAACATCAAAAAATATCATAAATATTATAATGAAACAAAAAATAGAAGAGATGAGAGATTAATGATGATGAAAAAGAAAGAACATAAGAGAGAAGAGATTAGAGAAAAATATGTGCGATAAAAATAAAATTGAAAGAGAAAACATTTGCATAAAAATGACAATATAAACAAGAAAGAATATAAGAGAGTAGAGATTAGAGAATAAGAGGAAAAATATATGTGGGGGAGGTGACGCGATAATGCTATGAGAGATTCGAAAAGACTGAAACTGAAACCATAAGTGTAAGTACGAGAAAATTATTCGTAATCATAGGGCTAACGTATAATAGGTTTAAGTTTGGGTTGGATGTGAGTTAAATAAAATTTAGGTTGTAACATAATGCAGTTTGATTCGGTTGGTAAAATACAAACCGCAAACCGAACCGTACGATTTTGTTA